GTGTGTGTGTGTGTGTGTGTGTGTGTGTGTGTGTGTGTGTGTGTGTGTGTGTGTGTGTGTGTGTGAGTGTGTGTGTCTGTGTGTCTGTGTGTGCATGTGTGTGTGTGTCTGTGTGTGTGTGTGCGTGTGTCTGTGTGTGTGTGTGTGTGTGTGTGTGTGTGTGTGTGTGTGTGTGTGTGTGTGTGTGAGAGAGAGAGACTCTCCTGCTGACCTGTTGTTGTTGTTGTTGTTGTTGTTGTTGGTTGTTGTTGTTGTTGTTGTTGTTGTTGTTGTTGTTGTTGTTGTTGTTGTGTAGCGGGCCGTGGCCCCCCCTCGGTGTTGGACCCCTGCGGGCTGCCGTACAGAGACGACAGCGACACTGACCGAGGCTTCACTGACTCCAACTTTAAGGAGTCGGGGGACCGGAGGCCGCCCCTCCTCCCGGGCCCCACCTCCAAGGCGACCTCTCCCCCACTGGGGCTGCTCAGAGCGACGGAGGTGGAGCGCACGTCGAGCCCCCCCTCCAAGGAGCGTGGGGACTCCTGCAGCTCCATCCATGGGCCGAACCCGGCCCCTAAACCCAAACTGTGGTCCCTGGCTGAGATCGCCACGTCCTCGGACAAATCTAAAGGATGTAATGACTCCTCACAGAGCGGGGGGGCGGGACAGCAGGCCACGGCCCCCCCCAGCTCCACGCCACGGACCCCATTCCCCCACAGCTCCGCCCTGCCCCGACACCTCTACTACACCTCCCCCTTCCTCCCCGGATACTCCAACTACGGCCCCCTGGGGCCCCTGCACGGCCCCCCCTCACATCTGAACGGATTACAGCAGACGATGCTGCAGCGAGCCGAGGCCGCCGCCAGAGACTGCAAGCTGCACCAGCTGAAGAAGGCAATGACCAACGCGTAGAGAGCCACGCCCTTTAAACTCTTTATTTATTGGACTGAAGGGCGGGGGGGGGGGTATCGATCAATGACAGACTTTTATCTAGAAACACAAATCTTCAATTTGACTGTTTTTCTATGTTGATAAGATGAAAGTTTGTAACATCAACAATCATTAAAGATAGTTTTATTAAAACTGATCACATGACATTCTTCTCATCACAACATAAACAACAACAGCTCAGGTAGAACACCCCAACCCTCAGACTCAGTGTGACATCACTTCCTGAGGATGTCCCTCCACAATAAAGCTCCAGAAATCCACTGAGAAACCAGAGGAACTAGAGTCACCGCCTCCTCCAGGTCACTTCCTGTTTGTCAGAGAAAACATTAACCATTGCTGTCTTGAGTTATGACTAAAAAGTGTTTTCTTACCTTGACCTTTTGACCTTTGACCTTTGACCACCAAAATCGAACCAGTTCATCCTCGAGTCCAAGTGAATGTTTGTTCCAAATCTGTAGAAGTTCCCTCCAGGTGTTACTGAGATATCGTGTCCACGAGACAGGCGGACAACCTGAAAACAAAATGGCCGCCAGCGCAGCGAGAGAAACAGAGTCTGTACAACTTCATAGAGAATCCTCCAGTTTCACAGTAAAACATCGTGATACACTGCACTCAGAGTGACTTTAAACTGAAAGGACTGACAGGAAGTCAGTGACTTTAAACTGAAAGGACTGACAGGAAGTCACTTCCTGATTCTTCCTGAGCAGAGCAGCTCATGTTTATTTGTGGTTTGCTAACGTTGTTTTCATTATGGAGAGAAGAAAGAGAAGAGAAAGAGTTTTTAGATGAATGATGATAATGAATCAGATTTTATTTTTAAATTTTGAATTTTCAAAGTAAAACTTCCTGTAACTGTTGAATTCTTGCTGAATGAGGTAAGCTGGACGTGCAGCAGATGAACTCAGACTCAGTCTGTCTGGAAGAAGAAGATCACAGGTGAAGAGCTGGTTCTACATGATGATCATCATGTCTGTCATGTCTTCATCTTCATCATCTTCATCAGTCTCCTGCAGTCCATTCACGTCTCAGTGTCTCCAGCAGACAGATGTCCTCTGACTCTCACCTCTTCTCCAGGGACTCGTCTTCTGTCTCATCACATCTTCCTCCATCACATCCCTGAGAGAGCTCGTTAGTTCGTTAGCTCATTAGCCTGCTAGCTTGTTAGCCTGTGGAGCTTATCACTGCTGCAGTTTAGTGAAGTTAGTGTTTATTTTGTTTGTCATCTCTGCAGCTGTCGTGATACAACAACAAGATTTCTGTATTTCTATATGTATTTACTGGGCAGCGAGCCGGTAGAGCTCCGTACATTTAATCTCAGATTTCTGTAGGTGTGAAACACCAGAGCAGAATCAACTCAACTGTCACAGTCAGTGACGTCCTGAGCTCTCAGCTTTTCTTCGGGCTTCCTCTCCACAGACCTGGGTCTACTGAGGCGCCATGAGACCCAGACCTCCCAGTCCTGGTCTGGATCTTTGGCGTTAAAGACACTGGAGGCTTTGTACAGTGACACGTAGTGTTCATGAGGAAACTGCATCTTAATGTATCGAGCTCATTCTCTCCTGCAGCTCAAACTGCACTAACCAACACACTTTAACCCATAATGCATCTCTCTCTGACTCACACCATGTGACATCTCTCCATTCAAAAACATCAGATGTCGTCAACATGAAACTGTTTCGTCCTCAAATTCAAGACAAAGCTTTTTTCTTTTTTCTACCTCGACACCAGAAAATTAAAATATGTGTCGAGGACATTTTCTCATTATGTTCATACAAAAGTAATATAGAAATATTATTGTTCATATAATGTTTCCTGTTGTGAATGAGGCCGCTCAGAGCCAACAGGCCCGCGGGCCGTAGTTTGGACACCCCTAATGTAAACCAGTGGACGAGGACCCGCCTCAGCTGCAGCTCTTCTGTTTCCCCTCCACAGGATGGACGAGTTCAGAGGAGGTGGAGTCCAGGTCCAGGTCCAGGTCCAGGTCCAGATTCAGGTCCAGGTCCAGGTCCAGGTCCAGGTCCAGATTCAGGTCCAGGTCCAGGTCCAGGTCCAGGTCCAGATTCAGGTCCAGGTCCAGGTCCAGGTCCAGGTCTGGATTCAGGTCCAGGTCCAGGTCCAGGTCCAGATTCAGGTCCAGGTCCAGGTCCAGGTCCAGGTCCAGGTCCAGGTCCAGGGGCTTGCACCGGTCCCGGTGTCGGAGGGGGAG